AGCAGATTTCTTCTACACTGTATATATTCATATGTAAAGCTTTGATTGCCTGTTTTAGGCATACCCTACCCCCAGGTGCCAATGTTTGAATGAAACTGTATCTAAACTTTGTAAAGATGCTTCTATATTCATATAACTAATCATGGTTTTACTGTTCTTGAAAACGAAATTTTAAAGATTCCTGCCACCTTACCAGGAAGGGGGGGGGGGGGGTGTCATGGTTTGAACAAACTTGAATGTACACTACCTGAGGATGCTTCTATATGAATATGACTAATCATGACTTTGATGTTCTTGAGAAGAAGATTTTTAAAGATATTTCCTATATATGTTCTTTTGTACCGGTAAAACTTTGATCCCCCATTTAATAGCCCAACCCTATTACAGGAGGATGCCTTAAACAAACTTGAATCTACAATACTTGGGGATGCTTCCATATCAATTTGACTAATTATGGCTTTCCTGTTCTTGAAAAGATTTTTTAAAGATTTTCCTATATATTCTTATGTAAATCTTTGATCCCCCATTGTGATCCCCCATCATGATTTGAACAAACTTGAATCTACACTACCTGAGGATAATTCCATATCAATATGACTAATCATTGCTTTGTTGTTCTTATAATAAGATTTTCACTTTTCCAACATATTCCTATGTAAAACTCTGATACCCCATTGTGGCCCCACCCTACCATCGGGGGTCATGAATTGAATAAACTTGAATCTACACTACCTGAGGATGATTCCATATCAATATGACTAATTGTGGCTGTGTTGTTCTTGAGAAGAAGATTTTTCCTATATATTTCTATGTAAAACTTTGATCCCCCATTATAGTCCCACCCAACTCCCAGGGGTCATGATTTGAACAAACTTGAATCTACACTACCTGAGGATGACTCCATATCAATATGACTAATTGTGGCTTTGTTGTTCTTCAGAAGAAGATCTTTAAAGATTTTTTTCTATATATTCCTATGTAAAACTTTGATTCCCCATTGTGGCCCCAACCTACCCCAGGGGGTCATGATTTGAACAAATTTGAATCTACACAACCTGATGATGATTCCATATCAATATGACTAATTGTGGCTTTGTTCTTGAGAAGAAGATTTTTAAAGATTTTTCCTATATATTCCTATGTAAAAATTTGATCCCCCATTGTAGCCCCACCCTATCCCAGAGGGTCATGATTTGAATAAATTTGATTCTACACTATGTAATTAAGGTTTCACATAAGTTTCAACTTTTCTGGCCCAATGGTTCTTTAGAAGGAGATTTTCATTTGTTCAATCTTGAACCCCCTTCACCCAAGGATGCTTTGCGGCAAGTTTGGTTGAAAGTGGCCAAGTGGTTCTGGAGAAGAAGTCGAAAATGTGAAAAGTTTACAGACAGTCGGACAGCTTGACAGACAGACTACAGACAAAATGTGATCAGAAAAGCTCACTTGAGCTTTCAGCTCAGGTGAGCTAAAAATGTAATCTACTTACTAAATATTACCTATCTAATTAGCAGTTTCCAAAGAGAAGTTAGAGCTGAGCCAATGGACAGTATAAATGTCCATCAAATATCAGTGTTATACAATGCTAAACAAGATTACATGGTCGGGGAAGAAAACATTAAACTTACTTGAATCTATATAGAACTGTGAGCTCTGAATTCACATAATTATATATAGTTCTATAATTTCTACATGGTATAGAAAAAAAACATACATTCTACATTCTGAAAATACAATTTCCCAATTGAGATTCACAGGGGTTATCTGTAATATGATGCCAACAATATCTGCAAATCTTAAATCTGTCCATCTTCAGACAGTTTCACTTCCATTCATTTTGAATAAAAGGTGCAACAGGAGGAATATTTACATTATATACATGATATACATGTAGTATCTATTAGTATACCTTTATATATCATACACATATTATAATAAAAAATCTTCCTTGTATAGACACTTACAATTTAGAAATTTGTACATGCATACACTTCAAAACACATAAAATTTAAAGTTGGAAAATAAATTTTTAATGACACAAAGTACATGTAAATGCATATTATATATCTATAAAAAAAAAAAAAAAAAAAAAAAAAAAAAAACAAGAACATAGGGAATCTCTAGAGAGAAAAAGGAATCTTTATGCAGAAAAAGAAGAAAATGGGGTGTCATAAGCCAAAATGATATAGTCTTTGCAAAAGGCATCAATTAAACCATCAGATTTCACCAATTAATGTCTCTAATGTGTCAAACTTATATACAGTGGACTGAAATGTTCAGTGTTTGGTTTATAGTATCATTATTTTGAAGCATCAAATTATTAATTCTTATAACAAATTACTACTCCAGTTCAAGTTTTCAAGGAAATGCAATTAAATGTGTAATGATCATCCAACTCAAATATTTGATTATGAAGATCAGAAAACCAAGTTGTACAAATCCAGATTTCCTTTTTGTTTGCATTTTCAACTTTTGTTTGTTTCCTTAATATTTTTTCAAGTTTGTATAGGTAGGGTTGGCAGAAATGAAGTTTGCATGGTCCTGTGTGAATATTTAGTACATAAAAAATTGTGACCCATAAAAACTTTTACATTGAATGAAAAATGAACTTTTCTAATATATATATATATATATATATATATATATATATATATATATATATATATATATATATATATATATATATATATATATATATATATATATATACTAGTGATAATCCCATTAGAAAAATTGTCAATCCTACAAATATTACAACTGCTAGAAGGATATGTTGTTTTTTGAAAAAGTGCTTTGACACCAGAAAAGAAAGTCAGCAATGAATACTTAGAAATATGTGAATATACTCTACATTATTTTGTTCAACTGACATTTGTCATTTTGTATATGTATGTATTATTCTTGTTAATTCGTTTTATGTCATGACTGTATGCCGACATGGTAATTGTCAATAAAGTGAATTGAATTAATATATATATATATATATATATATATATATATATATATATATATATATATATATATATATATATATATATATATATATATATATATATTATATATATATATATATATATATAGCTTGAAATGATATATAATTTTTCTTTGAGATGACCCTTTAAAGTGCCTGCTAATAAATAAGACCCCAACACTGATAAATCATGGTCTCCTCTGAAAAAATTTAAACAATTTAATTTACTTGTTTTATATTTTGCTCTGTATTATATGTAAGATACTAAAATAAATTTGCCTGAATTTTATTTCTTTATCTGTTAAAACAATAAGTCTGTGAGTGATATCCCCGCTCTGATGTAAATATACATTCTCATGTGAAAATACACAAAATCAGTTAAAGAAATACAGGAAGTTGACATTGAATTCGTACAAAAATGAATCCTACTTTATGGCATGATGAAACAAAGAGTGTGCTAAAATTTCAAGCATCTGCAATGAGTAGTTGCTGAGAAAACTGCGATGGAAATTTGGTACAGACAGACTCACAGATAAACGGGAAGTTCAGACTGGATTTGTACAAAAATGAATACCACCATATGGCATGCCTAAACAAAGAGTGTGCTAATATTTCAAGCATCTGTAAAGAATAAATGCTGAGAAAACTGCGAGGAAACATTTATTAGGAAAATTTGGTACGGACAGACGCACAGATAAACAGGAAGTTCACATCGGATTCGTACAAATATGAATCCCATCAAACATACCTAAACAAAGAGTGTGCTAAAATTTCAAGTATCTGCAATGAGTAGTTGCTGTGAAAACAGACACACACACACACACACAGGCACACAAGGGTAAAACAGTATACCCCCCCCCCCCCCTTGAAGCAGGGATATAATAATACTGCTTGCATCACTGAAAAATCTATTTAAGTATATGCAAAGTTGTTCTTTCACCATGTTCATAGATAACAAAAACTTCAAAAAAATTTTTAAAAACATGATAATATACCTGTAATATATCTGTATACCTTGTATAATAGATGATTCACAAAAATCCATTCATTTGTTGAAATTTCAAGGTAGGAGACACATGAGACTTTTTCATTATGAAAGATATACAGGTTTCATATCAACACATGTCTCAAATTGCTTTCTCTATTTTTCTTTATATCACTGAGTATAAAGATCACTTCTCTTCATATTTCCTGTAATGTATGGGGATAACATGCAGATCAGCTAAGATTATCTATAAATAATACTGAATACCCTTTGTAAGAAATTGCAGAGGTTTTAACCTGTAGGACAGAGATACAAAAGCAGCTTAGAAGTAACACAACAAGTGATAAAACTGCATTGGAGGTAGACTGGGTAACGACTAAAAGAGTTATTTAAAGACTAAATGTTGAGAATAACTCAAGTCTGGGAAACTTCTGATTTACCTTGAAGATGGAGCTTTGAGGGAAGCTAGAAACTAGATGACATTGGCCTGATGTGACCAAGATATACCATGCAGATGGAGCTTTGAGGGCAGATATAAACTAAGTAAATTTGACCAAATGTGACTTGAGATTTACCTGGAAGATGGAGCTTTGAGGGCAGCTCTAAGCTAAGTAAACTTGACCTTATGTGACTGAGATTTACCTTGAAGATGAAGCTTTGAGGGTAGCTGTAAACTAAGTAAACCTGACCTAATGTGACTAAGACTTACCTTGAAGATGAAGCTTTGGGGGCATCTGTAAACTAAGTAAACCTGACCTAAGGTGCCTAAGACTTACCTTGAAGATGGAGCTTTGAGGGTAGCTGTAAACTAAGTAAACCTGACCTAATGTGACTAAGACTTACATTGAAGATGGAGCTTTGAGGGTAGCTGTAAACTAAGTAAACCTGACCTAATGTGACTAAGACTTACCTTGAAGATGGAGCTTTGAGGGTAGCTGTAAACTAAGTAAACCTGACCTAATGTGACTAAGACTTACTTTGAAGATGGAGCTTTGAGGGTAGCTGTAAACTAAGTAAACCTGTCCTAATGTGACTAAGACTTACCTTGAAGATGGAGCTTTGAGGGTAGCTGTAAACTAGACAACCTTGACCTGATGTGACTGAGATTTGGGATGGACACAGCTCGCTGATTCTTTGGTTTTAGAGGAACTTCAACAGTGCGAGTGCAACTCTCAAAAACTTCTTCATCAAAAGTGCTTAAGTCATCTGTCGTAGATGGCACTGGAAATCCATCTCGATACTCTACAAAAAAGAAAGTGGCATCCTTTAGAAATTGATGTCTAAATATGTAATCATGAAACTTGAAACAAGACAACCACAGACAAATGCCATTAATATAAGTGATGTTCAATTCAATCTACCTACATTTTGTAAATAATCTTTGAATTTCTAGATTTTGACTGATTGAAATTAACAATGAATTATCACACCATTACTATAAAAAATTTTTGATTGTAAAAACACGCACTAAACATTTTATACATGCACAATCCCTGATCTTATCCCTTGAAATCACTCCTGGTGCATTTTTTTTATGAAAGGGAGAGAGGAGGGATTCTAATTTTTTTGCTTTGTTCATTTCTCTTTTTTCCCTCCTCTTAACCATTTGTCTCCCTCCCTTTCTTCTGCCTCTTCTCCTCCCATCCTCCCTTCTGCCATTTCCCTCCCTCTCCCCCACCCTTCTCACCCCTTTCTCCCACCTCCCATTTACCCTCTATAATGTTTCTTAGTTTTTTTTTCTCAAAATGATAATTTTTGATCTTATGATCTTTTTGTGATCTTATGATACATTTGATTACAACTATATACCATTGAGATGGTGACCATCTCAAAGACCTCCACATTTAGCAAAGGATTTTAGAAAGAAATGAAATTGTAAATTTAACAAGAGGCCTAAGGGCCTTAACGGTCACCTGAGTGTAATACAACAATTTAGAGGATCCATAGAGTATAAAATGAACTGAAAGGTGAAGCTTTGTTGCCCAAAAGCAAGAAAACTAGGATGATCAGGATCAACAAAATAATTAATCTAGTATTCATTGACAGTTTATAAATAAGGTTCTAATCTGTTCCCCATTTATCACTATCACTATACAGTATATTAAATAACTATCAGTGCTTCTGTACTATTTTAATTCCTTGTTGAAATCTCTTACATTGGCCTCTCTTGGTCTTTGATGAACATTTAATAAGACAAGTTATTATTGTTCCATTTTTATTTATCTATTAATTACAAGTCTACCTGATCATTAAAACTACGAAAATACTTTTTGTATTATACAATAAAAATTCTTGCATAATTCTCTTATTCTATTAACCTCTCAAGTACATTGTTTACAGTGATTAATTATCAAAAGTAAACAGCAAAGGGGAATAACTCCTCTCAGTAGAATACAAATTACTAGAGCCCTGGCCAGGATCAGAAGACTTGACCAAATGGTCCAGATGTTCAATCTGTTAAAAATACCCTTCCTTATTAAATCTTTTTGTCTCTGATATGCCCAAGTGAAAAGTTTTTAAAGGAATAATGCATTTTTACTACAGATTCACTATATCATCAATAGAGCCCCCCCCCCCCTCCCCACCGAGAAATGCTAGAGTCTCTCACCCTGGGACCAGAAGTTTGCTCATCATAAGTAATCACTTTGTTTATCCGCTTAACACTAAGGAGCTTTTCACTAGAACCCTTGACCCTGGAGCCATGAAATTCACAATTTTGGAAGAGGCATCCTTGCGTATCATAACAATGTACTAAGTTTGTTTAAATAGTACCCAGGGGCAGAGAAGAAGATTTTCAAAGAAAAAATTCACCTTCACTATAGGATCTATATACTGTATAGGGGAATAATTTCACGGGTTGTAATTTTCACGTTTTTCTCTCCTCGGACACGATCGCGGTTTGTTGAATTCGCGGAATCTGTATATAATAAAAGTCACCTCCCTTGTCTTTATCCGTGTAATCCATAGCTAGTATAGCAAGAACGACATTTATCAGCGTTATGTATTCACTTCACGAACAGGGTAGGTTTATAAAAAATGATTAGATTTAGTAGTTAATTGATGATTAATCAATACAAGTGCCGTTATTAAATTTTTTTGACTATAAACGTCAAATGACATTCCTATATGCTTTTACGATGAGTGCATGTGTACACATCTTTCCGAAGGTATACACATCGCAACGGAAAAAAAAAACACTGGACGCTAGTAAATGTATTAATGTAGGTAGACGTAATAATATCCTTCCATATCTTCAGCAAATTCGATAGTCATTCGAATAATATTTTTTAAAACCAAAATTTCCATAACAACTAGTACTCATAATACTAATGCAGGTAACAAATGCACGTGGTAACGTTACGCACGGGTAATCAAAACCCATGACCCGTGTGTTTTGATTGATAAAACATGTATCTATTAAAACAGCTTTTTAACAATAAATACAGGTTATTAGCTGCTTATTTGAATTAAAGTAAAATGTGATAATTAAGATAATTTAATGACAAGAACTACTCGTAATTACTGAATGACCGTGTACATGTACATATACCTGTCGTACACTGTCTATTTTCAAATTTCCAAATAAAACATTGAGGTTTAATATTTAAAACTTATTCACTGTTTCTTGAATTCACGGATTTATTAACACCGTGAATATAGCGAATATTAACACCGCGAGTTATTTTCCCCCTATACAGTAGCCCCACCCTAGAACCAGAACCCCTGACCCAGGGGCCATGAATTTCAAAATTTTGGAAGAGGCATCATGTCTTATCATAACAATGTACTTACTAGTTTGTTTCAAAAATACCCAGGAGCAGAGAAGAAGATTTTTAAAGCATTAATGCATTTTCACTATATAATAAATAGAGCCCAGCCCCAACATCATAACCCCTGATCCAGGGGTCATGAAATTCACTACCCTTGCTTATCATAACTATGTATTTAATTTGTTTAAATAATACCCAGGAGTAGAGAAGAAGATTTTCAAAGAAATAATGCACTTTCACTATATGATCTATATAGCCCCGCCCTAGCACCAGAACCCCTGACCCTGGGGCCATGAATTTCACAATTTTGGAAGAGGCATCATGTCTTATCATAACAATGTACTTACTAGTTTGTTTCAAAAATACCCAGGAGCAGAGAAGAAGATTTTTAAAGCATTAATGCATTTTCACTATATAATAGAGCCCAGCCCCAACATCATAACCCCTGATCCAGGGGTCATGAAATTCACTACCCTTGCTTATCATAACTATGTATTTAATTTGTTTAAATAATACCCAGGAGTAGAGAAGAAGATTTTCAAAGAAATAATGCACTTTCACTATATGATCTATATAGCCCCGCCCTAGCACCAGAACCCCTGACCCTGGGGCCATGAATTTCACAATTTTGGTAGAGTCCCTCTTGCTTATCATAACTATGTATTCAATTTGTTTCAATAATACCCAGGAGTATAGAAGAAGATTTTCAAAGAAATAATGCACTTTCACTATATGATCTATATAGCCCCCCACACCCCCCCCCCCCCAGCAACAGAACCCCTGACCCTGGGGTTATGAATTTCACAATTTTGGTACAGCCCCTCTTGCTTATCATAACTATGTATTTAATTTGTTTCAATAGTACCCAGGAGTAGAGAAGAAGATTTCCAAAGAAATACTGCACTTTCACTATATGATCTATATAGCCCCACCCTAGCACCAGAACCCCTGACCCTGGGGCCATGAATTTCACAATTTTGGTAGAGGGGTCAATGCTTATTACAATCATGCCAACAGTTTGACTGCTTGATGTCCAGGAGTAGAGAAGAAGATTTTCAAAGAAATAATGCACTTTCACTGTATGATCTATATAGCCCCCCCCCCCCCCCCCAGCAACAGAACCCCTGACCCTGGGGTTATGAATTTCACAATTTTGGTAGAATCCCTCTAGCTCATCATAACTATGTATTTAATTTGTTTCAATAATACCCAGGAGTAGAGAAGAAGATTTTCAAAGAAATAATGCACTTTCACTATATGATCTATATAGCCCCACCCAAGCACCAGAACCACTGACCCTGGGGCCATGAATTTCACAATTTTGGTAGAGTCACCCTTGCTTATCATAACTATGTATTCAATTTGTTTCAATAATACCCAGGAGTATAGAAGAAGATTTTCAAAGAAATAATGCACTTTCACTATATGATCTATATAGCCCCCCCACAGCAACAGAACCCCTGACCCTGGGGCCATGAATTTCACAATTTTGGTAGAGTCACCTTTGTTTATTATAACTATGTATTCAATTTGTTTCAATAATACCCAGGAGTAGAGAAGAAGATTTTCAAAGAAATAATGCACTTTCACTATATGATCTATATAGCCCCCCCCCCCCCCCCCCCAGCAACAGAACCCCTGACCCTGGAGTTATGAATTTCACAATTTTGGTAGAGTCCCTCTTGCTTATCATAACTATGTATTTAATTTGTTTCAATAGTACCCAGGAGTAGAGAAGAAGATTTCCAAAGAAATAATGCACTTTCACTATATGATCTATATAGCCCCACCCTAGCACCAGAACCCCTGACCCTGGGGCCATGAATTTCACAATTTTGGTAGAGGGGTCAATGCTTATTACAATCATGCCAACAGTTTGACTGCTTGATGTCCAGGAGTAAAGAAGAAGATTTTTAAAGATTGCATTAATTTTGGTGGTTTTAGCCCCACCCCTCAGGCCCCAGGGGGGCAGGGACCATGATATTCAAAAATTTTGTTTCCCTTCACACATAGATGCCATATGCTAAAATTGGCTGAAATCGGTTCAGCAGTTTCAGAGAAGAAGCTGAAAATGTTCAAATGTTAACACACGACGGACGACGCACGACGGACGATGGACGACGCACGACGACGGACGAAAACAGATAGCAATAGGTCACCTGAGTGACTCAGGTGACCTAAAAATGTACATGTACTTGGACTTGACCTTGACCTTTAACTTACACCTTTATCCTTTGGCACTCTTTGTGTGAAGTATGAGCAAATTGGAGACAAAAGGGGAAAATTTGCTCATGATAAGAATTTTGCACAGAGATCTATTCTGACCTTGACCTCTGACCTAGAAATTTGGTTCAGAGTCACTGCACCCACATGTAAGAGTAAAGTCAATAGGACAGTAGGAATTTCAATAAATGACAGCTTCCGATGTCTAATAAAAGTCCGACTTCGGCGAGAGTGACCTTGAGACCACGC